GTCCCATTACCGATGCTTGAGGACCCCCTCGGCTGCTCCCTGACGCTGGTGTCTGCTCTCTTGCAGAAGATGGCCCAGGAGGGCCGGCCGGTTGAGTGCTCATCCCTGGGGCCGGTCCCCCACCGCCCCTCCTTTGAGCAGGGCAGTGCCGTAGCGACTGTTCCCCCATACCTGGGTCCTGACACCCCGGCTCTGCGCACCCTCAGCGAATATGCCCGGCCCCACGTCATGTCCCCCAGCAACCGCAACCACCCTTTCTATGTGCCGCTTGGTGCAGTCGACCCAGGCCTGCTGGGGTACAACGTCCCGGCCATCTACAGCAGTGATCCAGCGACGCGGGAGCGGGAGCTGAGGGAGCGGGAAGCCCGTGAACGAGACCTGAGGGACCGGGACCTGCGTGAACGTCTCAAGCCCGGCTTTGAAGTCAAGCCAGCCGAGTTGGAGCAGCTCCACGCCGTGCCAGCTGCTGCCATGGATCCGTTCCCACGCCACGGCGGGCTGAGTCTGCAGACAGCTCCCGGCCTTCATCCCGCTTTTCCGTTCCACCCAGGGCTGGGCCACTTGGAGCGGGAGAGGCTGGCGCTGGCAGCCGGCCCGACCCTTCGTCCCGACATGTCCTATGCCGAGCGCTTGGCAGCTGAGCGCCAGCATGCTGAGCGGGTGGCTGCTCTCAGCAATGACCCTCTGGCCCGTCTGCAGATGCTCAATGTGACACCTCATCATCATCAGCATTCCCACATCCATTCCCACCTCCATCTCCACCAGCAGGATGCCATACATGCAGGTGAGGACCATGGTGAGGGTGCCCTGCACAAAACCTCACTCTTCCTCCTACTGTGCTCTCCTTGCACTTCCTCCCTCTGGCCCTGGGGAAGCCCAAAAGCTGCAGAGACTTTCAGGGCCCAGATCCATCACTTCAGCCAGAAGAGGTCAACATCATGGTCATTCACTTTTGCCCTAGCTCCCGTCCCACCAAAGACGTTGATACCTGTTACAAGTGTCGGGGCATCTGTGAGTTTGCTGCTTATAGGCAAGCAGAGTTGTTTGCACTATGTCCTTTAGTTTTGGATCTCTGGGGATGCAATGTCAGTGCTAGGGTCCCTCTGCCTACCTGGGGGCTGGTGCTGCTGCGGACTGCATCCCTCACACTGTGGTCTGCAGAGGGAGTGGGAACCCTCCTAAACAGTGGGTTTCATCAGTATCCTTAGGACTAATGAAATCTTGGTTCTCCAGTTTGCTCCTGTGGCTCTTTCTGCAGGTGATGGGATGGGATGGGACAGAAGGTGGACTGATTGTAAGCAGCTGGAGACTGATGTCCTTCAGAATTGAGGTGGTGATCCCTTCAGTTTTCCCCTCCTCAGGAAAGCAAAATAAAAGGAAGTTTAGGGATGAAAAGCTCAGAGAAGCAAAGCCCAAACTACAGTGCTAGAGGGAAATGTGCCATGCCTGTGTGGGTACTGTGAGTGGTCAGTGGGATCTGGTGGCAGAGACACTTGACAGACACCCACTCTAAGCAGCTGCAGCTACTTGGAGATGGCATCAGGTACAAATCAAGCTCCTTCCCCCCACGCTCTGGAGCTGGGCTCCTCCAACCAGCACTCTGGCAGTGAGTCCAAAACACTGGGAAGAGCAGTTTTCATGTAGGTGGTACCTTACACCGCAGCCTTAGAAAGCACTTGCAAACGTGAGTGCCTGGCATTAAGCCTCTGTGCTGGGTGAGATCTGGAAATGGAAGCACCGAGTCTGTGGAGGCACGTGAATGACAGCCAGGCTGGCAGATAGGCACAGTACTGGGTATGGACGTGATTGGAGAGCAGGTCCTTGCAGGATTGACTTTATGAAGCAGTACTTCTCCCTGAGGAGTGTAGGGACAGAGCTATGCCAGGCTGGTTCACATGAGATTCAGTGCACTAAAAAGAGTAACATTCAGAAGGACACGGTACTGTGTTTCTAGCCTTGAAATCATTCCATCCCTAATGCACTCCAACCCTCTCCATGTCTGTTTTGTTGCACCTTTCTGTGTGTGGCCTCTTAGAAAGCATGGGACAATTATCTTGTGGTATCTTCTCTTCCCAGCCTCAGCCTCTGTTCACCCTCTTATTGACCCACTCGCCTCGGGATCACACCTGACCCGGATACCATACCCAGCTGGAACCATCCCAAACCCTCTCCTGCCTCACCCTCTACATGAGAACGAAGTGCTGCGCCACCAGCTTTTTGGTAGGGGATGCTCACAGGGACTGCTGGTCTCCTCTAAAGAGTCTCAGCAGAGCTCCAAGGGTCAGGGTGGTTATGAGAGGATTACAGGACCGAACTGAGGTCTACTAAACAGATCCTTGGCATGGCATAGAACGGGCTTACACTATTTGGTGAGCAAGTCCTGCACATGAACAGAGCTGGAAAAGCATGCGCAGTAGGGTCTTGACTGAGCTGGGGGGCCATGGATGAGGAAGGAGCCATCACACTAACTTGTTTATTTTCTGTTTCATCTTTGGCTGCAGCTGCACCCTACAGGGACCTGCCGGGCTCCCTCTCGGCACCCATGTCCGCAGCACATCAGCTCCAGGCCATGCATGCGCAGTCAGCTGAGCTGCAGCGCCTGGCTCTGGAACAGCAGCAGTGGCTCCACGCGCATCACCCTCTGCACGGCGTGCCGCTCCCGACGCAGGAGGATTACTACAGGTGCATGGATCTGCTCTCTCCTCACTGTGGGGTGGGTGGATGCGCTGTCCTCGCCAGAACACCTTTGGGCCCAGGGAAGCATTGCCCCTGAAGTGAGTGACCGAGCCTGAGCCCACACCCAGGAGCAGGGATCCGTGCCCCAGGGGCACAGCAGTGGGTTGGCTACCAGGAAGGTCATTCTTGGCAAGTGGCTGTTCCATGGCTAATCTTGTGTGGGGTCTCATCTCCTCCCCTCTGGGGACGGGATAAACTGACATGTTGCACCCATGCTAACGCAGTTCCCACTAACTGATAACCCCTGCCAAAGTACCAAACATTTGCGAGGGTTGGATGCTTTTGCCAAGATGAGGCTTTTACAAGTGAGAAAGATGTGCAGTGGTTGTTCCTTTTCAATAGCATCTCCTTCTTCGAGGATTTGAAAAACCCTCCGAGCCAGTGGTGTTGTGGAGGTCTGGACTAACAGAAGGCAGAAGGAGAGCCTGAATTGCCTTTTTTCTCAATCACCTTGTTCCTCTTCTTTCTTCCAGCCACCTGAAGAAAGAAAGTGACAAACCCCTTTAAGCGGACTTCTACTGTGGGCGTGACATCATCATGTCTTTCTCTCAAGAGGAGCAATCAATCAACCAAATCCTGGGGGAGGGGAAGCTGCAGTGACACATCCTGATCCCACCATGCAGCAGAGTGCCAGAGAAGACGGACGAACAGTACAGGATGGCATCCTGGGAGCAGAGAGCAGAGGACAGAAAATGGGGAGGGACTGAGACGCCACTTAACGGACATGAACTGATCGGTACGTGATTTCAGCAGAGCTCTGGAGGAAACGGCATCAGCATTGCACAGAGCTCAAAGCGACAAAGACATGAATTCAGGGTGGCAGCAGCTCCATCCTTTGTTTCGGGGGAACAGTTGCATTAAATAAGCGCAGAGCATCGCAGGACTTCATGTGCATGATGCTGCCACCTTTCCTGCTTCTGCGAGGAGGAACTCAACCCAACAGCCTTTTTTCCTCACACCCCACCCCCCTTTAGGTGTAAGATACTGCTTAGCGATATGGAAAAGCAATGTGGAACTTTCCCCCATTAGCTGGGGTGGCTTCCTGCTCTCCAGCATCCCATCCGATGCAGAGCCCGGTCCCAGCCATCGGGGTGCAAAGCACCGCAGACTGTTTGCGAGGTGGTGGCTGTGCTTCCCCACAAGGTGCAAAGCACTGGGAGGCTGTTTCCCAGACCACAGTCACCACCGTGATCCCCCCAAGTCCCATCGGGAGAGCCAGTGTGGCCCAGAGCAATGACACTGCGTCCTTGGGACTGTCTTGAAGATGATGGCTGCCCCCTTTCCCCTCACCCCTTCTAATTGATGTACTTTTAAAACTCATGCACATCCTGTTAGACGTGGCAGTTTTATGTAGCAACTTGTGATCCCCTTGCCCCCTCCCATCCCCGCGTGCGTGTCTGATTTCACAATTGTATCTCTTGATTGGTCCCCATATATATATATATTTACTTAATTAACCATTAAAAGGAAGAGAAAAAAACCAACCAACAACCCAGCTATAGAAAAAGAAACCACCCGAACAAAGTTCCCCACGCACTCCCAAGCCCCGACATGCATTCTAATAATTTATATATATAAATATCTATATGAAGATCTTAAAAAAGAGGGGGGGAAAAAAAGGATCAAAAAAACCCTTGCAGAAACAGACTGCGTTGTGTTCATTTATTTTCACCGGGGCCAGGAGCGACCCGTGCATGGGGCAGACGCTCGCTCTCTGCAGGCAGGGGGTGAGCCCCGGGGATGGCAGCCGGGGCCGGGCAGGAGGAGCGGGGGGGGGGAGCCGCTGAGCACCGCCCTGGGCCGGCGGGGGAAGAGCCTGCGGAGGCGTGGCCGGCAGGGGGTGCCATGGCAACCCCCAGCCCTCTCCGCCGGAGGGGGCGGAACTTACGCCGCTCGGCACCAATGGGAAGCGGTATATTTGCATACGACCAAGGCGGTGAGTCCGGGCCCGGCTTTTCGCCGTTGTCGCCGATGCGGGGCGGGGCAACCAGGCGGGACCGAAGGGGGAGCCGTACGAGGGACGGCGTGTTGATGAGCGGGCCGGGCGGCCCTCACCCTCGCCTTGGGGCGGGTCGGCGCCAGTGGGGTGCGGCGCTGAGGGGGGAGCTCCGCAGTGATTTCAGCTCTTTTAGTATTTGTCTAGCAGGTTTCCCGCCCGCGGGAAGCCACCCCCACCGGTGCAATGACAGAGCGGAGAGGGGCCGGGCCGCGCATGAGCGGTGTCGGGGTAGAGGGGACGCGGCGCTCGGGAGGGTGGAGCGGTAGCCGGTCCGCAGCGCCCCATGGCGGCGTCCGCGCCGGCCCCGGCGGCGCCGCTGAGCGCGGAGCAGGCCAAGGGTAGGTGAGGGCCGCAGGAGGCTCCGGGAGCGCTGCGCTGCGTTGCGCTGCGCGGCGGTTGAGTGTGCGTTTGCTTTCCGCAGCGGTGCTGGCGGAGGTGATCAAGGCCTTCGGTGCGCCCGAGAACGCGCAGCGCATGGAGGAGGCGCGGGACAACGCCTGTAACGACATGGGCAAGATGCTGCAGTTCCTCCTGCCTGTGGCTACCCAGATCCAGCAGGACGTGATCAAAGCCTACGGCTTCAGCAGCGACGGCGAAGGTGGGTAGTGCCCCGGAGCGCCGGGCCCGCCGACGGGCGGCCGCCTCCGTCCTTCCCAGCCCTTCTCTCGCAGGGGTCCTGAAGTTCGCCCGGCTGATCAAGTCGTACGAGTCGCAGGACCCGGAGATCGCCGGCATGTCGGGCAAGCTCAAAGCCATGTTCCTGCCGCCCATGACGCTGCCGCCGCACGGCGCCGGTACCGGCGGAGTGGCCACCTCCTGAGCCCGGCGACCTCTCCTCCAGCCCCGGCGGGCCGCGATGCTCGGATGCTTTGGAGCAGTCGAACGGGGGAGGCGCTGACCCGACAGGAACGGGGCGGTTTGTGCCTGCTTGTGTGTCTGCTCCTGAATAAACCATGTCTCGAAGTTGCCCTTGTTTTATGAATGGACACAAACTTAGTGGTGTGTTTGGGGCACAGATACCTCTCCCTGGTGCAGAAATGGTTACAGAAGTGCCTGCCTTATGCCTGACAAAACCTGTGCTGGTGCTTTGAGGGGCCTAGTTGTACCTAATTCTGCAGAAAGGTAATCATTTAAGCAAAGTCTTAGTGTGAAGCCCTGGGACTTGATGTGATATAAAATAAAGTGACTTTATTTTCTATTTCAGCGGTGCTAAGCCCTGTCTGGAGCAAGCTTTGCAAATGTGTTATCTGAAATGCACTACCTAATGTGTCTGTAAAACATAAGCTAGTGCTGTTCAGCAAGTGCTGCAACTGCCTGTGAGTCCCCTCTCGTCAGCAGGGTGGGTGCAGGTTATTCCTACCACCTCTACCCACTGGCTGCATTGTTTCACAGCTGAATGTGCTATCAGACATACCAGCCCTAATGAAAAAAGCAGCAGGGGGAGTGGTGTGGGAGGACTGTGCCCAGTTTGGCTGCAGCCTGGATTAGAGCAATGCAAACAACATCAAATCGCATCCTATGTCTTACGGAACTGAAGAGAGACAAAACTAGCAGGGCAGCCTTGCTCCATGGCGATGTTTGGTTTATCGGACTTGATCCAAATGGAGGGACATCAGATGCTTCTGCTTGTAGCCTCATTAGCCTGTTGCCCTTGGAAGCGTTGAGGTCTTTGGGGAGGGTGATGTGGGCCATCATGGCAGGGCTGGGGGTGATGAAGCCGGGCCTGAGAGAACAGGTAGCTGCGAGCCAGATGTGAGAAAGCTGTCTCCGGTTCTGCCTTCCAGTTACAAACCAGGCAGGAATGTAGACAGCAAGGGCGTGAGCTCAGTGGATAGGAGGCAGGAAGCGCAGTCGGTCTCTTCCGACTCCATCTACCTCTCCCGCCTTGGCCTTCCTCCACCTCCCTAATTACTCATTAACTACACCCCAGGAAGTGCTTTCCAAAAGGTGAGAATTAAGCCCTCTGCGGTTTGGCTGACCTGGAGTTGCCTTCTCCTCAGTCCGCCCAGGAACAGGCGGAGTTCGGGACTGCGGGATCGGACACAGGTGAGTCACAGGAGGTGGTGCAGCCCCCGGCCGCTCTGTGGCACTCAACGCAGGAGCATCCAGCCCCTTGGGGAGGCAGCAATTCCATCCTTCTCTGTCAGGGTCTGTGGTCTCTCCCCCAAGTCTGTCTCAAGATACTGGCTTGCTCATTCCAATACTGCTTTATTTTCTTTAGTAGGACCCCCTGGTTAAGAGCTGTGGTATTTTCTCCACCAGCTGCTGTCAGTCCTCCGGCAGAGGGGATCTGTGAGTCAAGATCCTGATGGCATCCTGTGGGTGAGTGCTGTGAATGCTCCTCAGGGGAAGCAAACAGGACTTGTTGGGGAGAAAACCACAAATACTGGCAGTAGGAAGTGGGCAGAACTCACCTTCTGATAGGAGCTTCGGAGTAGCTGGAGGACTGGAATTGAGAGTGGTTTAGATTCTTACTGCTGTTACGGTTTCTTGCTTTTTATCAAAGTGAAACAGCAGTTTCACTTTGATAAAAAGCAAGCAGATTTGTGATGCCCCTTTTGCTACAGGTTTTCTGCCAATGTTTCTGAGTGTCCCCGTACAGAGACAGGGCAGGAGGGAGGGTGGTTATTGCTTGATTCACTGCAGTCTCTCAAGCCCTTCATAGAACAGCAGGACATAAAATCATCAGGGTCAGTCCAACCAGTTGCTCTGCTCTGGAAACTGCAGCAGCATGATGTACAGGAATGGGATTTGCTACTCTACGGTAACAGTCTGGGAAACCACGGTGGTCCTGGGGTCCCACGTTCCATCTGCCCATCCCCAAGCCCAGATGGCCTTCCCTCTGCGCCAACAGCTGAACTAGGATGCAGTTCTGTGTGGAACAGCAAAACCTCCTGACTAAAATCATCTCAGTGGTGAGGATTTGAAGTATCAAATGCAATGCTGGTGCTCAAAAAGGTCTCCAAATGAGATCCCTAGGCTTCAGGGAAGCACAAAGCAACCAAGTTGGTATCTGGGCAAGAGGGTAGAGAGTAGACTGGAGAAGTGAGTGAGTGTGATATTAAAGAAAGAGTCGGCATCTGCTTTTGGAAAGATAACTTTTTTGTAAAACTCCAGTTTTGTGGATAAGGCAGGTCTGGTTGAGACAGATTCCTTGGAGCTCCAAAAAATCAGTTGACAAGATTTTTTCATCCAAGTCTTTAACTAAAGCTACAGTTGTGGCATAAGAAAGAAGATGAAGACTTTCATGGGTGAAGAATTAGTAGAAAATAAGAACTGGAAGGTGGGAATAAGCATTCGGTTCTTACAGCAAAGGGAAGTCATCAGTGGTCGAATCACAGGCTTAACTGGGAGTCTCTGCTGTTCAGTATATTCCCAAATGACCCGGAAATAGAGCTTGGTGAGGTGAGAAAACTGACTGGTGGTAGAGAGTTATTCAGGATAATAGGGTGGGAGCTGACTGAATAATTGCAGAAGGACCTTATGATAGTGAACGAGTGGGCATTAGAAGAGCAGCCGGAATCCCATATAGGCATATGTAAAACAATGTTCATGCAGAAAAAGAATTCAACATTTACATCTAAACCAATGAACTGTGAACTAATCATAACCTCTCTGGAGTAAGCCTGTGGTCATACATAAGCATGTGTAATTGCTGGCTTAATGCTTGGTAGTGGTGAAGAATTAGCAGAAATCCCCACTGTCTGTGACTCACCAGCATCTTGGAACGCTGCAGTTCTGTGCCATCTTTCACTCTTATCTCCAAAACAACACACCAGTCTTGGAAACATCTCAGAAAGGGACAGCAAGAATGATCAGAGGTATAGAACAGGGTCAGAGTCTTCAGCCCAGCAAAACGCTGAGGAAGGATATGGATGTTACAGGTCAGTGTAATGAGCAGTTTGGATGGGGTGAATAGGGGTCAGGAATCAGTCAGTGGTTTTTCTTTCTTACAATAACCAGACATTAATAAAAATGAGGCAGGGAGCAGGTTATAAGCAAGCCAAAGGAGGGAGTGTTTCTGTAGGTGGGCCCTGGAACTCCTTGCCGAAGGATGCTAAATTTGTTATGGATTTGAGGGTTGAGTCTACAAGTAGCTGCAAATGGAGGTTTAGGGAATAGAGAGGGAAAAGAAACTCTATACATAACCTCTTCCTCTACTCCTCCTTTGATAACCACTTTGGCTTCTGGATCATCTACTCCAACGCCCTGCTCACAGCAGAGCTAACCCCAAAGCTGTATCAGATTGCTCAGAGCCTTGTTCAGGTGAGTTCTGAACATCTTCAAGAGTGGAGGTTCCTCAGCTTCCCTGGGCACCTGTGGCAATTGCTGAACCACCCTTGGGGCGGGGGAGCATGTGTGTAGCTTTTCTCCACATCTAATCAGAATTTCCGTTGCTGCAAGCTGTGCCTGGTGCCTCTTGACCTTTTAATGTGTCCCACAAAGAAGAATCTGGTTTATTCTTTGTAAACCCCACAAGTCCCCTTTTAGGTAGTCTCAGGCAGCTGTTAAATCTCTCCTCAAGCATCTTTTCTCCAAGCTGAACAAGCCCATCTTCCTCTGTCTTTGCTGAGTTCCATGTTCTTCACTGCCTTAGTGGCCTTATACTGGATTCTGTCCAGTTTCTCAGTGTCCTTTCTTTTACAGCAGTCCAGATGTGTGTATCTTTTAATTGGTTATTTCATTTATCTTCTTTGCTCCTTTGCTAGCTGTGGCTTGGCTCCATTAAGATTTTACAAGATGAGGTTCTGCCACCTGTGCTGTACTGAAACAGCAGCATAGGAGCAGTCTCTTTGCTGAAACCTCTTAACCTGTTAATCTGGGCTCTTTGCTACCTTGTTCTTTCCCTCTTCCTCTGTGTCCCACTGATGTTCTTTTCCTCAGACAACTTTTTTCCTTCAGCCAGTTCATAAGATGTAGGAATGTCTAGGTTTTAGTTTTTGTCTGCCATGGCTTCATATTGATCCCACATAATCTTTTGATATCAGGAATTCTCTTCTGGGATTTCTGTCATTTCTTTCCTAAGTAAACAATATTTCTTTCCTGTGTCAGTGCTTAGAGTGGCTCTGACTTAGCTGCAGTCTTTTAGGTGCAGCTTCTACACTTCTGCATAGAGGTTGTTCCCAAGAGCCACAGGTCTCTAAGCCTTTAAACTCTCCTTGTTTTTACTATCGGATTTAAGTCAGGACAGCTGGATCCCTGCAGCTCCCCACACCCCGATCCATCATGTGTGTGAAAATAGAAGCATTTCAAAGGAAGCTCCTGTAGGTGACTGGGTTGCCTTTCTAGCAATAAGGTTTAGCTTCCCACTCGTCTCCCCTGTACTTCCCTTTGTTGTTAGTTCCTGTCTTGGCCACGAGCTTTGTCTCAATCCTTGCTAGCAGCCTGTTCAGTTTCCCATTCTGGTGGGGTGCAGGGAAGGCTGCTGGTTGAGATGAGCACATCTCTTGCTGTTCCTCCTGCCCACACCACCACACAGGGTAGCCACAGTGGCCCCAGTTAAAAGCCAGGCTCCTTTGCCAGCTGGATTTCCCTCTTTGGCCACTGCTTAACTCCCATTCTTTCTTGAGATCTGCAGACCTTGAAACCAGTGCTGTCGAAAAGAGCAGTCATGAGCTATGGTTGGAAATGGCTGCTAGGTAACTGGAAATGGGTAGTTTTCCTTCTTTGTGTCTAGTTGTCCAGGTTGGCTTCAGTATGCTACACTGGGATCTTGAAGGTCCTAGGCTAAGCAAACTTGGTGTTGAATGGGCACACTGTAGGTAGTAGCTATTTGTTCTGGTGTCTGCCTTCTTCTCTGGGCAGCTTTAAGGCTACCTCCCACCCCATCCCTTTTGAGCTAGCACTGCTCACATCAGTCACATCCTCCAACAGGCTGTTTTGAGAAGGCAGAGCTCTGCTCAAAATGCTTGCCTGCACCTCAGCATCTGTGTTTGCACAGATTTCCCCCTGTGGCTGTACAGGGCAC